CTCCCTGTACTTCCAGTTGTACAAAGCTGACTATAATTTCATAGAATCTTTCCTTTTCTGCTAGACTATTGTTTTATTGTCTTTTTGTTGTTTTGAGTGATATTGTTTTTTTGCAATCCCAAAGTTTTGCTGGCCATCCATAAATTGATCAGGCTGCGTTTGACCCAGCACCACATAGTTTTGGTGCTGGTATGGGTGTAAAAAAAGGTTGCCATATAACCCTTTATTTCCAACTTTGTTCCTTTTTATCAGATTTTATTTATAAGGGTTTGAAATGTTTAGCAATACAAAAAAGAGAACCAAAGGGTAAAACATAGGTCCTGTACATCCAGCAGGTTCATACATAGGGACAGACACCGATCCAACATTAAAGAGCATAGTTCTAGGAGCTTTCGATTTTATTTGTATACAGTAATTATATATTTAATAGTGGAATGATTGGATCATGGTCACAGTTAAAGTGTTACTTAACCCACAACAGTAAAATCAGTCTATATATGCAGTAAAGCATGTTTGTTATACTTATTGTGGAACCTAAGGGGTTAATCCTCTGCATTGTGTAAAATTGCTGTTTGATCCTTTATTCTCTGATCCTACCCTTTTTCTTTCTAGTGCCCCCCTCTTATCTCATGATAAGACATATTGTGTGGAGTCACTCTGCACATGCTCAGTTTGGTGTGCATTGCTAGAGAGGTTTTTTTGTTTTCTTGGAAGACTGCACGTGATCAGCACAGGGCCAATCAGCGCTATCCAGACGGAGGTCAGGAGTTCTGCATCTTCCTAGAGCAGAATGAAAACTCCTCTTACAAGCTTTAACCAGTGCTCTGCTGGACACTGATAGAAGTCACAAGACTGCTCTAACTGCTGATGAGAAAAGGTATTTAGCAGTTTATATTTACTAAAATAATTGCATTTCCATGTTCTGTGCACTGTGGGAGACCAGATATAGTGAATGCAGTGTTCTGGGTTTAGTAGCACTTCAAAAGTTAGAGGGTTTACCACATTATAACTGGGACACTCCGGAATCTGTAGAGGCTTGGTTCAGATAGGGTTCACATATGAACTGTATGCAGGGGTGTATTTAACACAAGGCAAAAAAGGCAGTTGCCTAGGGTGGCATTTTTCAGGGGGCAGCAGAAATTTTCAGGGGGGCAGTGCTGTCCCCTGAAAGAAGGAATGGAAGAAGGGACACATGTAGCACACGGACCAGGTGGGATCTGAGAGAGGTTGCAGGCTGCTTGATGGTGTATGCAGAGCCTGTCTCTTGTTCCTGAAGATGTCCAGAGCTGTGAAGGTGAGTGTCTTATCTCTTGCTGGGGTGGAGGGTTGCCCATTGGTCAGGGGCAGACTGACCATTCGAGCACTCGGGCAATGCCCAAGGGCCCGGGTCAGTAGTGGGCCCCATGAGATGCCCCTGGTACCTTTCATTGGCTTTTTCATAGGCTTTTTTGGTTGTGGGCGAGGACACAGGGGCCCCATGATCCCCTATTGCCCGCAGGCCCCATGAGTTGTCAGTCCACCCCTGCCAGTGGTAGTGGAAGGCGCTTTCGGATGGGGGGTGAGCTGGGGTGTTGTTGGTCAATGTCCGTGGGGGGGGGGAGCCAATGTTTGTGTTGCCTAGGGCAGCACGAGATCTAATACACCACTGACTGTGTGTACAGCAATGGGCAAAAGAAGTCTATTTTTCAGAGGGATATCAATGACTCTAGATTTTCTATCCAGACCCTAACCCTACCCCTCTCACACTTTCTCTCACACTAACTCCAAAACATAACCCTTTTAATTAATTGATACCATAACATCCCTTGAATACCTGCAATAAAGCTTTACCCCTAATCTTACACTGAAAAAAGCAAACCTGTGCTTTACCTATGCAGGGTAAAGCCAGTCATCTTCGTGGGGAGGGTAGGGGGGGTCTGTACTAGTGCCTTTACATAGAGGGTGCCCTGGTATGACCGATGGTACCATGCAGAGTGGCAGTGGTGTGGTAGTATGCATTTACATGTTTCAGATGCATTAAAGCTGTTGTAATCCCTTCTATATACCCATTGAAGATACTGGCCTCAGCTGATACACAGAGATAAAACAAATCATCCTACATAGGTTGCACCATCTGCAGCCATCTCTTCTCTGCATCAATTTAAAGTCCAGAAATTACACAGCTTTTGTGAGCTTGCGAAAGGCAAGGAGTGGGGATCTGATGTCAAACACTGCACAGTTCAGGAAGGAGAGCTGAGTGTAATCTGAGACCAAGTGAAGGGAAGGGACACATCTGCCTCTACATAATCTTATAGAGAAACATGCATGGCTGATGCTGTCAATCACAGGCTGTGTGCTGGAGCTCACTGTCCCCATTCCCCTTGATCACTTGCAGATTCAGTGCGGTTTGAAAAAGAGTCATGTACAATTCTGAGCAGTGCCTTCAGGTTCAGGCGCGGATTACCAGCTATTGACATTTATGGGAACCATTTCAAAACCGCATATGTGTGAACAGGATACAATGCTGAGCTAACCCTGTCCTGAACCCTGATGTAAACCTAGCATGAACTGCTGAACAACTACTGTGTCAGTTAGCTGTAAAACCTGAGCTGCAATCTGCACCGCACATGTGTGAATCAGCTCTCAGAGTTGGCATAGCCTGTCAAGAATAACGTGTACAGATAGAAAAATGAACCAGACTGCAGACAGAAATTGAGGCAAATACACACTATAGAAGGATATGCTTTGTTCATTTTTCATGTCAGAAGGGTTGTAACCCTTCTGACATTTTGACAATCCTTCTGATACGGTTGTAACCACACACACACAGATACACATGCATAGTTAATTTTTCATGTCAGATATTATTTTTCTGATTATAGTTATAGATATTATATATCCTTAGATATAGTGGAAACATCATACATTTTAAGTTTTATATACATAGATCATACATATATGATCTGAGAACCAATGTACAAGTTGAGCCAGATTTAGACCTTTAGGCCCAAGGCACTTGATGTTCGGGGGAGCCCCTTATATACAGAGTTGAATTATATTCTCAATGATAGTCACACATTTTTAAAAGACATGACACAATGTCATTCTGTGGTCACGCACAGACATACCGCTCTATGTGTGGTTCACTTGAGCCACCAAAATTTGTTTTTACAATGATACAATATACCAGTTCAGAGTAAAAAACTTTTACAGATGATGACCAGCAAAATATTACTTCCCAAGACACATTTAATAAAAGAAAGTATTTTTATTATACATTTTATATTATTTTATTATTTATTTGTTAATGATCATTTTCAATTTTTTTCTATTGTTTTAGATCATTTTTGTATACAAAGGGGCCCCTTCTGTCGGGGGGGGGGGGGCCTCGGGCACTTGCTCCCTTTTGCCTCCTTATATCTGGCACTGTGTACAAGTACCTTCTGCGCTGCTCTAATCCCACTGACAAATATATAAGAAAAAGCTCAATAGCAAGGCAGTGCTCTAATGTGGTTCACACATTGAAAACATACATGACCCTTTCTGTGCAGGGCTAAATGTGCATGATAACTAAAACCAGAATTATACCACACACTTATCCTTGGTACAGAAAAAATAGCAACATCATCATACATATAAACTAATATTAATTGTCACAGTGCACGCTCAAAGGATAAACATGGCACATATAAAACTTCCGTGTTAACGACCTCCTAATGTGTCTCCTCAGCGTGCATTACATATAAACAGATAATAACACCTGCATTATATATATAAAATTATAAAAAAGGTGTCTCAGTGATTGTGCACATTCCAGAGTTAAAATTATCGTGTTAAAATGAAAATAGAGTGGACTGATCCGACGCATTTATTTTAACTCTGGAGTATGCACAATCACAGCAACACCTTTTTTATGATTGCATATATATTTTGCGGATGTTATTACCTGTTTATATGTCATACACACTAAAGGGACACATTAAGAGGTTGTGATCACGGAAGTTTTATATTTGACACATGTATCCTTTGAATGTGCACTCTGACAATAAGGCTCCATTCACACTTTTTTAAACTAAAAAAAACACTGGGAAAAATGCTGGACATAAAACACTGGTATTGTCATTTTTTAGTAGCGTTTTAGTAGCATTTAGAAGAGTTTAGGAGTGTTAGCATTTTCATAGTACATGTAGAGGAAAAAGAAAAAGCTAGAAAAAAGCTTTTAGTAGCGTTTAGCAGCTCTTAGGAGCGTTTAGGAGCATCTAGCATTTTTTTCTGCTGGAAAAATGCTCCAAAAAACAATTTTTTTTTCTGCTCCTAGAAGCTGAAGCTCAAATAATGCTAATAACCTAAAGCAGTGTGCAGAAACACATAGGAGAACAATATTTAGCTTCTAGGAGCAGATAAAAATATGCTGATAATAGCTTATAGGAGCTTAAAAAAACGCTAGTGTGCATGGAGAATACGGCGTCAGCATTGATGAGAAGAAAAAAAAAATAGTTTTTGGAGAGTTTTTTGGAGCAGTTTTCCAGCAGAAAAAAAAAAACACTAAACACTACTAAACGGTACTAAAACGCTCCTAACAATTTTTTTTCTAGCTTTTTTCTACATGTACTGTAAAAATGCTAATAAAACGCTTATGCTCCTAAATGCTATTAAAATGCTACTAATAAACGATATTACCAGCTTTTTTTATCCAGCATTTTTTTTTTAGCTTTAAAAAAAAAATGCTATTGTACGTGGAGCCTTAATAATTTGATGATGTTGCTATTCTTTAGGTACCAAAAATAGGTGTGTGGTATAATGTTGTTTTTAGTAATTATGCACATTTAGTGCTATAATGGACACATACAATACATATATAATGAGCTGTGTAAATAAGTAGCATGTAGGTGGAGGTATCAACTGTTTAATGACAAACAGTCATAAAACACATTTTCTGACCTTGGCATGAGGTACAATAGGTCCACTGCCAAGACAGATGACTTTTATCATTGATGTGAGGGAGTCTATTAAGAAACAAGAACCAGGGGCGAACTGACAACTCATGGGGCCCCCGGGCAATAGGGGATCATGGGGCCCCTGTGTCCTTGCCCAAACTCAAAAAAGCCTATGCAAAAGGTACCAGGGCATCTCATGGGACCCCCTACTGACCCCGGGCCCTCAGGCAGTGCTCGAGTTTCCAAATGGTCAGTCCGCCCCTGACAAGAACTATCTACCCTTCTTGGCAAAATCTAATGCAGATACTGGGTGATAATACCATTGGATTGGATATTATTCAAGGTAACATAAATGGTTTAAACATGCCTGAATTACTTTTTCCCGGCCATCATATAAACCTTCTTCACTTCAGCTCCTGTCTAGTATCGATCCTTCATCAGTTCTACTTCAGTGTCAAACGTATGCAGAGAGACCACTGCTTCCACACAGAGAACATATTTCCCTACAGCATGCTATTGGGGGACAGGTTATTATACTGAGGCTGTGGCTAACTGTAAGACTTTGCACACCTTTTTATGCACATGGGGTGTATGATTTTAACTGGAAGTTCAAGTGGGCTTGAGAGAAACTGCACATACTGTATAATCAAGCATGGCCATAGTTCCAACCAGTGGTGGCACCAAGGGAGTGCTTGGTTGTACACCCCCAACATTTACTTAAGCACCCTCATTGCACATCCATCTATAGCCTCAGTTTCCTTCCCTAAACAAAAGGACTAGGAATTCTATGTGTTCCACCACACTGCCTACTAGTGCTGCCATCTCCTTGGTTTGTTGAAAAATTATTCCCTATTGTTCCAGCAGCAGCATGGGAGAGAGGGAGCTTCATGGGAACAGTTGCACAGGTAAGTAGAACTACTGAACATCAATGCTGGAGGTCCATTATTGCTACCGGGGATCTATTTTTGCTAAAGGAAGTTGGAGTTTATTATTGATAATGAGGGTGTTGTTGCTGACATCTATTTTCACTGCTTGGGGTCTATTAATGCTTCTAGTGGTTATTGATATTGCTTCTGGAGTTTATATTTTGATGCAGACCATTATTGTGCTCAGGTTTATTATTGTGCTGGGGGTTATTGCTTGCCCTGAGATGTACAGGAGATGGCCGTTGCTGGCTCTGAGACATGCTGGGGATTATTGGTAGGGGTGCTATTCAGCATTCTATCACTTGCTGGGAGTTGTCATTGCTGGCAATGAAACCAACAATGAGGTTTATTTTACTTCCAGAATTTCTTCATTGCACCACCAGACCCTATTTTGTCTGAACCATAGCAAAGCAAAGGGGGAAAAGGTGGCACACCACAAGCCCTACACCATGAAGCAGCATTCAGGAGCGTTAGCTTTTTCTTAGTGTTTTTACAGTACATGTAGAGGAAAAGAAAAAGAAGCTAGAAAAAAGCTGCTCGGAGCGTTTAGTAGCATTTAGCATTTTTTCTGCTGGAAAAACACTCCAAAATCACTCTACAAAAACATTTTTTTTCTGCTCCTAGTCCCTGAAGCTAATGCTAATAGCCTGAACACATAGGATAACATTATTTAGCTTCTAGGAGCAGGAAAAAAAATATACTGATATTAGCTTCTAGGAGCTTAAAAATTCGTTAGTGTCCATGGAGCCTCAATAGTTCCAACTGACCTCCATTGGAGGGGACTGTCTATTTTTTAAATTCTTTTTGTCCTTTTATCCTCCTCGGTATGGATGAGCGGAAGGTAAATGAGTTTGGTTCAAGGAGGGTTCAGCAGACATTACTAAATTTCAGTTTTCAAACTTAAATCCCATTGAAGTCGATGGAAATTGAATGTTAAAAAACTGTAATTACCATTTTCTAGGTTAATAGGGAAAGGAGTGTAAAACATAGCATCGGGAGCTGCCTGTGATTTCCACACTGGTAAAGTACAGTATATGAGCAGCCCTGACTTTTCTTTTTAATTATGGATTTATTGGGGAAAGGTGAAGCTTTTCTCTGATTTAAATGTCCAGGTCGACATTAAGAAGATTTTTTTTTTTTCGTCTGATTTTATATGCTGTAAACAAATCCATCCAGCACTCTAACCACTGAACACCACTGGTTGGTAGTGCATGGATATTGGCATCAGACTACAGATCATTATTGCAAAATATAGAAAATGTCAGCAGTCCATGAAAACCTCTGTGATTTATTGAAGTCACTTCAAAAATATAGTGATAAAGTCATGTTCCACCTCCACCAAACCCAGTTGGAAGTGGAACATATGTTTTTCACTATATTTTTGATGTGACCTCAATAAATCAAAGAGGGTTTGCATGGACTGCTGGCCATTTCAATATTTTGAGATTTTATATGCTTCCTGGGTCCCCATAGAGGAGATTTCATTTCCTGTTTTGTCTTTTATTCAATACTTGGACAGGAGATGCAATGAAATATTATTTATGGGAACACAGACACAAAAGGCCTGTTTGCACAATTCTATTCCTTTGCAGTGCTACTAATGCGCTAATGCGTGATATGTTGCATATTAACGTGACTTGAGAGTTAAGACAGCACATTCATTTAAATAGGTTGCCTAACCACAATAGACTTGAAATCAGTTTTTTGCATCGCAGCCTGCCACTGTAATACATTACAGTACACTGCAACACCGGTCCACCAGAAAGGAGCATTGAGATGTCATTCATTAGTGCGCTGATGTAAATGGACCTAAATAACATTTTTAACAAATGTTTTACACTTTTCTTAGCTTACTAGAATCTCTTCATTTCCAGTTCTGACACCTGTCAACTGTCACAGCAAATGGGGATATTTTTTATCATTTCTAATTCTGTCTGACTGATCAAATGGGGAAATAGACTTCAATAAACAAGTTGACAATATTTTATTACTCTTTCTAAAAATGATAAAAGAAGTCTCTGCTGATGTTAGGCTGTAATAAAAGTACAAGAAGGCTGTCTGGATTGCAGGAACACCTTAACACTCATCTTGTATTTTTGTGAATGAAAGAAATGTCATAAGGTAACTGAATTCATGCAGTAAAAATGCAACGACATTTTCTATCCCTTCCAAACATATTCTTAGTGTACTATATGTAGGTTAGACAGAGTGTCATTGCTCCCTATGAGCAAGTTGATTGTCAGCAAATTAGGTATAATGTGATCTAGCTGTTTTGATAACCATCCCACATATAGGTAACCGAAGCACAAGCAATGCTACTAGGACATTCACATAAGGGGTTCACACAGGAAAAATGCATATCATCAGAGGCTGAGCAACATTCTGTACAGGTCGGAACATCGTTCCCTACAGGATTCTGTTCTGTCCTATTTCTGTTATGTCTCAGGTTTAATAAATGAGCCCCTGCTTCTTCCACATGTCCTAGGGCACAGCTACACAATACGCGGAGCTCCAAAGATCTTTTCAGGGAAAGAAACAGTACAGGGATTAGATTCATATCAAAATAAAAGCATGCAGTAATGTTTCACGTAACTAAAGGGCTCAAGTAAGAGAATTGTGCTAACAAGAATATTTATTGTTGCTCATAGCAACTGATCATTTTCCAACTGTCATTGCTACAATGCAATTCGTCATTTTATGCAAAAAAAAAACAAATCATCTTGCGTAAATGTATGCTGCCTGTGCAAGCTGTGCAGTTGTACATGTTCCCAGTAGGACAAGGAAGGCCAAGAAAGGTGGTACAGGAGGATAGTTTGTTGATATGAAGGAGACTCTGCTAACGAGCTCCACCGTTTTGTGAAGGTACAAAACCTAAATGTCTGTACTTTCTTTTGTAAGCTAACAAGATGTGATGGCATTGTTGCTGGTAATATTAGAGATATGGGGTGAATGGGGTGGTGAATATAGGATGAAACAGTGATCAGGGTAATATGGTCAGCAGTGCTTGTAGCACTACAGCTGTAGGTTCTCTGCATGTTCCTGTAGCAGAAAAGCTAACCTTTTGGCACACACAATAAAGAAAAGTTCAGGGGAACTAGAGGGTATTCTGCTATTTTCAGTTTGTGTGGCTGTTTTGCTACTCTGGACATACAAAAAGGTCTGAGTTATGTTAAGGCAGGAGGCCACCTATTCAGACATGCTTTGCTTGTTTGTTGTGCGACCTGCCCTACATGCAAGGGAGAATGTCACCAGCACACCAAGGATAACCAATATGGGTCCAAATGTTTTAATGAATGATCACATAGTTACAGCAAGGCAACATTTCGGAGTCTCGCAGGACCCCTTTATCAGGCATGTGGCATGGTCACATGCCTGATGAAGGGGAACTGCGAGACTCCGAAACATGACATAGTCACATGCCTGATGAAAGGGGTCCTGCGAGACTCCGAAATGTTGCCTTGCTGTAACTATGTGATCGTTCATTAAAACTTTTGGACCCATATTGATGATCCTCGGTGTGCTGGTGACAATATCCCTTGCTTATTCTGTTCGATTCCAGCCGATGGTCACTGCAGCACCCACTTATACAACCATTTTTAAAACACAAATGTGTGGGTTTGGAATGTACATTGGTCTGGGCATTCAATATACAGAAGGGCAGATGTGTACAGCAAGTGGCAATCTGCATGAAGCACTCAGCAATTGTGTACTTAGGCACAGATTTCCCATCATGCACAGTAGGTTTGTGCCCTTAGGTGACAATAGCAAAGTAGTGGTTTTTACTATACAGTAATACCTCGGTTTCCGAATTTGTGAAAAAAGACAGGACACGGACTCTGACAAGTCCTTTATTAAAAGAAAAAAACTAAAAGAATGTCCCCCCATAGTAGATCCAACGTCAATCACGATGCCCACCGTCAGCACCGCTGCCACCGCTGACCCGAAAAAAGAATTAAAAAAACCACCCGCACTGAGGAATCCGGACCCGCGGGTGGTGCCATTAGTTCTAATGGCACGCCGCCCCACACTGGAAAACGCAACCATACTGGGAACCGAGGTTCCCATACGAGCTGCGTTTTCCGAAGGAGTGCAGGGACTTCTTCTCTGCGTGTCACGGGGCACGTCCATTCAAATGAGAAGAACTCAATATTCGGTGCAATAACCAGTTTGTGTGGACCACCACCAAATAAGAGACTTCAATTTGTTCTGCACTCCTGTGACCCATTTTCAGCCAATAGTGGCCTAAAGTCCGCTGTTGGCTGATGTCATTCAGCTGGTCGAGGCTGGGGAAGTATCCAGACTTTGAGAGGCTGAGCAAGCCACTTCCATCCCCTCCACAGCCAACTCAGAGGTGACTGATCATTCAGTTCTCA